TGGTAATTTCAAGCTTCTTCTCGTTCTTGAAATAATTAATCAGACCTTGAAGGGTAATGTCGTGATCAATGTAAAATCGGTCCCAAAGAGTCCATTCCGTATCGTAATACTGAATCGGACAACGGGTCATATGTATCAACAATCTACCATAATCATGGCAAAACCAAACCTTTCCCATACCTTGTTCTTCGCCGCTGCGATCGGCTCTGAGAAACCAAAGAAGGGCAATGCCAGGTTAACAAAACCATTCTTATATACCTCCAACTTCTTCTTCTCATCGATAATCTTATACAGCTCTAGACAAACGAGCCCAGTAGCCAAAGCGGTCGTCGTGGCAATAGCCGGAATGATTCTACCGGCAATTAGCTTGGTTCGATGTTTGTCCACGTTATTGATCGAATAATTTGTCGCTCTCAGATTTGAAGCGGCTGTGATGAAGTCCATGTGAAAGTTTGTGTCATCGTCTTTCTCGAACTCGCATGGTTTCAGTCTGAATCCAGCCAAGGTTGAAGGAGCTGGTAAGGACGCGGCAACTTCGGTCTCATCAGTATCTAGCATAGGTGCGCAAATCAGGATGTTAGTATAAATATATGTAGGTTTGAAATCATTCTGAAACACATTTACCACCACTGGGTTGGGCATCGACGGGTTCATCATCCTTCACCTGGACCTGAACGCCGCTCTTGGGTGTGAATTCGGGAACGATCACAGTTTCCAAAATTTTCTTGATCGCATTTGGATCCCGATCACCTTTCAAGCCGTAGTTGTAAGCATGAAGATTAGCTGCGGCAATGATGAAAGTCATGTGTTGAGGCTAAAAAACCAAAAACAGGAAACAGTTAAACAAGGTTAATTAGATCATCGCTAGAATTTTCGGAGGAAGTGTAACTCACGTCCGATGAGTTGAATTCAATCGCTTCGGGGGCTCTCTTAGGACCGGACCAAAATGGCACGCCTTCTTTTGTGATCTATAGTGCCCCGATTGGAACGGACCTTAGCAACATAAAAGCAAGCGACACGATGGGAAATGTGGCACTCACAAGATCCTTTGGCAAGCTGTGCAGGAGTTGCCGAATTTCGTTATTGAATTCAAGCTCGAACTTCAAACGGGCCCACCTTACACATTCACCAAATGTCAGAGGGCGATTATCGACCAGGTATTCTTTGATCTGATTGAGCTGCTCGGTGGGATTGCCTCCTTGTCTTAAGGTCTCCACAAAGTTGGGAAGGGAGAGATATTGATTTACGGTCTCCGGAGGTTTGACAAAGTATTCTGAGAATCGTTCTTTAGCCCACTGAGTAAAAAAAGTGCATCAGTTTATGGGCCCATGTGCGGTCAAGTCAAGTCACTCTACGAACCTGTATAGTGTGCTCAATAACATTGGGGAAACTCTTAACTGTACACATTGGAGCTTCTTTTTCGGGAGGGTCTTGGGAAGACGAATAAGATTCGGTGAGATGAGGGAGAACAACTTGAACATTAGCTTTAGTACCGAGAGTGCCAGATTCTAGCAAAGGTTTTTCATAGTAAACACATCGACGGTCCATGTATTGTCTCGCCAAAACATTGTCGAGAGCGTTGGTGACGCAATCAAGCTCATCAAAGAAATCGTCACCGAAAATGTTTTCCGTTCGATCACCGACAGCGTCCTGGTAGCTCACAATTTTCCCTTGCAGCTCGGGATTCATCTCGCATACAGCCCGAGGAGCAGCTTGACTCTTGAACGAACCAAGATCACGTGGCCGGAACAAGAACTGTCGATTAAGATTACTTTTCTCAATCGAGTCCATGTCAGTAACAGAAATCTTGCCCTTAGGGCCAGTCGCCAAACCCATCATTGACCAATTCTTTAGCATCTCACAACCAATTGCGCCCGCACCGACCAAGAACTGTCGGTAATTTGCGATCTTGTTTTGGAATTCTTGACCAAAGACAGCAATTTGGTTATCATAGCGAGAGTCGATAGGTTGAACATCTGATTCGGTTAGAGTTTTGCTCGGTAGAGCCTCCAAAGCATCAAAGTAGAGGTGCTGGAAGGTAGGGTGAAACTTCCCAGAACAAGCCTTGAGAACTTCCTGGGCCACATAACCGCCGATGACGGCAATCAGGGGTGCCAATTCACCAGTGGCTTGATAGGAGAGTTCCAAAATGACGTCCTCTGCAAGGTCACCTTGGTCTTTCTTGTGAATACCTTTGGCCAACTCGAGCACTTCTTTAGCGTCGTCTTGATTTCTAGGTCGAGGCAGACGTGAATGCTTTTCTTGGAATTTGGCTAAAGCTTGAAAACCAGAATGAAGCGACGCCGGTCGGTCGAATTTGGCGAAATCGGTGATAAGGAACTCTGGCTCGAGTAAGGATTGTCGTAGTGGTTTCTGTAGTATTTTTTATTTGCCTTTGGTATTCGCTCTATGCTGCGCGACAAGGAAAGAATCAGGAAGACTCACAAAGTCCAGAACCTTGGGCATCTTGACTTGATGAAACCACCCCCCGGATTTGTACTCGCCAAATGAACTTGTATCCCCAATCGTAAAGGTATAAGGACCTAAGTGTAGCAAGTAAGCATTTGTAAGTCAAGGATGAGGATCTTAAGAAACGTGGGGCAGAAATGCTTACCTTTCACGGTCACCTTGCGAGGATCCGTCTGAACAAATCCTTCCATACCCTCCACTTCTGTGAACGTCACATAGTCCCCATCCTCCAAACCATGTCTAGTATCGTCCAAGGTAGTAACAAGACCATCGGAACTCTAAAGGACGAACCCTCGATGACCAGAATTCGGGTTGAATTTAATATTGAGTGAAATAATTTGAGACTCACTTTCTCGATGGAGACAATCATGCCTGACACTGGTTGTTCACCATTGGTATCGATGACTGGAAAAGCTGGACCAAAATCGCAAAATACTGTCCTGTGTATGGTCGACAGCGTGAGATTCAACGAGGGAAAGAATTAAGCTTTGAAAGATCGCGTACCCGAAAAGCCCCCTCACATCTGCGGCAATAAACTGGATACCATTCGCATGCGTAAAGTCGTCAAGCTCTAATTGCTTGGACAAAGATACATTGGTGACCACCACAACCTACAGGGTGCATGAGAACTATTGAATAAGTCATTTGTGTGGTATCACAGGATGAGCATCTAGTCAACAAGTACCTGGAACGCCTTCAGTCTGTCCAAAGTTAGCTCGCCTTCCAGTACCCTGACGGGAACGTAGGAGTTGAGTTCAGCCAGCCGTGGCTGAGTGGATGTATCCCTCGCTTTCCCAATGTCTGTCTCACGCAGGAAGAACTAGAAAGATGCCATAAGAGTCACTGTCAGCAGGTGAATGATAACAAGATGTGAGCAAGTAAAGTTCACAAGGCTGACCTGAGTTCCAAGGTCAGTCTTTTTTGTGAGGTCCGGATCGTGAATCGTAACAGATTTGACTCCAGCAAGGCAGATGTTTTTGGCTAAAAGGCGATGTGGTCATTTAATGAATGTTGAAGTCAATGTGGAACACCGATAGAGAAGCCGAAAACCAACTTACCGATTTCCACTCCGAGGCCTGTCATACCAACGATGAGAACGTTGGAGTTGGCCATCTTCCGCATAGCTGTGCACATCGTTGATTACATATCAACAAGTTACTTTCGATCTTGAGCCTGAAGCTCACCTTCATGACCGAGAACGTATCTAATCATAGGTCCAAGTCCATGCCAAATACATCAGTCAATCGTGCTCTAGAAGTGGTAACAAATCTCGAATCGTTGCATTCGTAGAGATTCCATCGTGACCCCGATTTCTACGGCCTGGGTTCCAGAGGTCTTCTGTTGGCTGTAGTGACTGAAGTGATGAGAGTTTTAACTTACAATTGGCGCGAATACAATGATTCATCTATAGTAGATTGATCGACCTGCATCGAACCGCTTTCGGAGTTGGAGCCAGCCATGGTGATGGGGAAGATAGGTTTGAAAGTGTTATGAGGTGAATGTGAGGGTTGAGGTCGAAGTGTGAGTAAGGGTTGGATGGATTTGAGACCAGTGATGGTAAATACTAAAAAGACTGTCACCACAAACTAAAAATGGAGAGACCGGCCTCGATCCCGTTCAATCGTTTACCTATACCTACATTAAGTTACTTAACAATCACACAGAGCCCTTTTATACTCTAACTTAGCTAAGGCCTGGGCATCTGCTGCCATCGCACTAACTTTGCACCAAGTCTACACTAGATGTCACCAGCTGGTGATACCCAGTGTTTCACACTCGTGATCACCAAACCTCCTACACCACCGGAGCTGTTTCAGGTCTGGCTCACGTCGCAAATATATTGCAGGCGGGATTTACCGTAGGCTGGCGTACATAAGTTTGACTCCCTCCCCGCGAAAACAAGCCTCACGCAATCTTTATGTGGACCTCAAATACAGGTGTCAACAAAAACCAATGAAGCAATGTAAGAGAGGCTACAATGGGAAGGGGAGAGTCCACCAACAGGGAGAATCAAACCCATTCCATCACTGCCAGCAGAAACTACTAGGACATGGTTGTTCTAGAAGTCCTAGGACCAGAGTTGTCCTAGATGTTCCTTGATTGGACAAGGAAAAACTAGGACAAAGCCTGTCTGAGGAAATCTAGGACAAGCTTGTCCTAGATGTCTTTGTTGGCAGTGCATCATAGGGTGTGACCGCACCTAAGGCAGCAGTTACCAACAAGGCTAGAACAGCTGTGACTGGTCCTTGTGGTCAACAGGTCCTAGTTTGGCCTGCCCTTGACCAGGCTCCCATCAGGTGGCAGTAAACCATCTTGTATTTGACTATTTTTTTTAAAAGCTTTTATAGTGCATTACTTGTTAAAAACATATAGCACTTATAGAAACAACCTAAAAAAGGAAACAAAATATCAAAGTAGCTTCCTCTTCAAGTGAGCTAGTTACAATGACTTGTATTTTTGTTGTGACCTGAGGGTCACATGGTGTAAACCATCATACCCTATAAGAACATAGGGGAACATGTGAGAGTACTGGTCAGGTAGCCTAGTGGTTGAGGTAGCCCATGCATGTTGGGTCCACATCCATTGGATCTGGTAGCTGGTTCAACTCCAGCCCTGACCTTCTTCTGAACTACAATAATTTTTACCTGAGTTGGTCTCTTATTTGATGAAACCTAGTAATTTCTTCTTGAGGTGTATCACTGCCAAGATATTTGTATCGGATGGGCCTATCCGATGTTCTATCACCCCGAGATATGCGATGCAGTGTCAGTAGGATTAGGTGCGATGGAATTACACTGCAATATGGTGTCAGAGCATTAGATACCGATAGTAATTCCATCGCACCTAATCCTACTGACACTGCATCGCATATCTTGGGGTGATAGAGCATCGGATAGGCCCATCCGATACAAATATCTTGGCAGTGAGAGATCAGTGTCAAAGGGGGTCCATGGGCTGGTGAACAGGCTCAAGGGGAAGTCTGGGGGAAGAGAGATGTGGCTAGGGCTGGGGAAGATTTCTTAAACTTATGTTCCAGAAAAAGAATGACTAGACCAGGATTTAAACCTGGGACCTCATCATAAGCTGAGACACTTTTCTAGAAGTGCTGCCTTTTGACCACTAGGCTATCCAGTTGGTGTCCAGATGTGAAGAGCTATGCAATTGTTATGGTTGATTAGTCAACTGAGTGTGTAGTGTACATAGCATAGATCAGTAGTGTATTGACCACACTTCAACAGGATTGACCAAAAGGCATATAGAGGTATGGATTAGCTGCTCCAGCTGCAATGTTTACTAAGGTGTAACATCAGTTTGATTATGGCTCAAACATCAGTCAGACAACCAGTACAATGTCACACAGATGACAGATGTAACAACACTTACAACATCACTCATTTGTATGCAGTCTCTGGTGGTACACTGCAAATCAAACCTGTGGAGAACTGTAGTACCACTAGTCCCACCACACCAATTTTGGGCATCTATGCCAGAATTCCCTGCTTCAATAAAGTTTGACAACACCTTTGATGCTCATGGTATCTTTTTGATGATGATGATGATGATGAGTGGGACCATCTGTGGAATGTAATCCTTGGGAAATGGGAAGAAGGACCTCACAACCACAAATGAAGGCAAATAAACCAACCCCAAAATCAAACAGATCACCAACTATATTTAGATTGTTTTGCAACAAACACAAAGTACCCCAATGAGAAGTTTTAACAACATTGTTGGATTAGAAAACCACTCTTTGTGAAAATAGAGGTGGACTTTCAGCAGCATGATCAGTATTGGTTCAAAAGAAGTGGAGTCTGTCACAGTGAACCTTGTGTTGGAAAAACAAAACCTTACAAGTTATATTTCATGGTCATGCTTGTGTCAAAATGGGATTGCTGTGGAAAGTTGGTTCTTTTGACATGTCAAAACATGACTACAGCTTTGAACACTACACTGAATGAGACTTTTCCCCTGGAGGAATTTCTTTTGGAAGAGGGGGACAATGTTGTTTCAAAAAAGGCACTTTCCACCTGTGGGCTTTAAGTGGGACTGTGAAATGGGACCATTACAGCTTGTACATGACACATGGCCTTTGTTTAATTGCTGACTTGAAGCCATAAAATCATACACTCTCATGTAAAAGCTGTCATGGTCCCATTTCACAGTCCCACTTAAAGCCCACAGGTGGAAAGTGCCCTTTTTGAAACAACTTTGTCCCCCTCTTTGAGAAAAGTTTCCTCCAGGGGATAAGTCTCTTTCAGTGTAGTGGCATAAGCTTGCATACAAACTCCCTGCCAAGACTACCAATGAGTATGTAAAGATTGGGGAGTCAACTGCTGTGATATTTTTGACAAAATTCATTTTGGGAATCAGCCAGTTATACAGGAAAGAATCCCATCAGCCTCCAAATGAAGAAGAGACTACAGACTATCACAACAGAGTATTATCTTTCTGGAATTCCTGGTTGTAAAGGTCCTCTTGATGATATGCATCAGGAATGGAAGAATTTCCCAAGTGGATGGGCTGGTCAATATGAGGGAAAGGCACTTCAACTGTGATTCTAGAAAATATAGCCTCCATGAATAGAACATTGTGGCATCCTTTTTTGGTTGAACCTGGGTCACTCAATGATATCAATGTTTTGAATGTGAGTCCCTTGTTTGAAAATTTTCTTGAAAGTTAAATATTTTTGTTTAATCATCTATGGCTATAAATGTGGACTGAGTCATTCCTTGAATAAATACAGGGACTGATGATGAGCTGGTTTTTGAAATCATGGGTCATATCCATCCCCAAGGCCATAATCTGGCTGATGAGATCTATGCACCATGGCCAACTTTTATTAAAGCTTCTCAAGGGGAAGATGTGGCAAGCAAAATTTTGGAAAAACTACAGGAAGCTTGCCAAAAAGATATTGAGCAAGTGTTTGGTGTTCTTCAAATTTGGTTTGGAGTGGTGGTACAACCATTTTGACAGTGGGAGCTGCATGATGTTTGGAACATCAAGTATTGCTGCATCATCCTGCACAATATGGTAGTTTAGGGGGAAAAAAATACAGAGGATCTCTTTATTTGGGATTATGAAACCAAAAAAATTGTTGGACAAAAGTGCCTGGACCCAACATTTGGGACATATATGGAAAACTATAATCAATCCAAATACAAGCTACATGACTGCACTGTTCACATGCAACTCATGAATGCTCTGAAGACAATGAATTGGATGGCAGAGGCACAGCAGCCAAATGACAATCAACTGTGACATTTGATAACCATTGTGTTTTACTCTCATGTTATTTAGCCATCAAGGTTAAAAAAAATTGCATGATTTACCACAATGATGTACTGTCTCCATCTTTATAACTCCAAAATCAATGAAAAAAAGGGATTATAATTCTTGACCAAAAATCAAACCAAATGACAAAGATAACTGAAGAATTGTAATTATCTTTGGAATACAGCCTAATGAAGTGCATGTAGTATGAGTAAGCTCCTTCCCTACAAACAAGCTCTCTGGGGACTCTGACCTGAAAACACAGAATAGAAAAAGAAAGAATCAGGACTGAGAAATAATGAAAAGAAGAAAGAAATAATTGTCAAAGGAGATTGGCTAGTACCTATTCTCAGGTACAGAAATGATTCTGAGAGAGATGATGGAATAGATGCAAGGATAATTATGTGTGTGATCTCAGGAATGATAGAAAATTCTGTATAGGTTGAATCATATTATCAACAAACAATAGGGAAGATAGCCTTGGACATAGTTATGAAGGATCATGAAATAAAAACAGCAAATAAGAGAAACAAATAAAAAGTAAAATTACAACACTTACAATCTCTTTCCAAAGTTGGGGAAAGAGATCCTGGTTTTCTAATTTGATCAGGATATATATGTCTAACTGCTTCATTTGGTTAGGCAAATTTAATTGTCCAATCCCTTCATCACCCCAAAAGTGAGGATTATAAACTTCAATTCCCATCTTCCTTGACCATACTTTAATTCTCCTCTCTTATTAATTTTGTCTGTTATCACTATTCATCTTTTTCAACAGATTGTGTCAATTGGATTTCAACAATATCCCTTACAGCTTGAAAAAGCAGATAGCTATGTGAGCACCCTTTATCTGCTATTTCATTGGTTAAACCTGATGAAAAAGCAGATGTCAGCATACAGTTTAAGCCCAATGTAAGCTACCTTGCCACCTAAATTACAAAAGGCCCAAAAGGTCTTTGGGCACAGAGGGTTTCTGACTTGACAATGACATCTCCTGTGTATCATTAGAGATGGTCATTGAGGGAATGTCTCTGGAGTCATCTGATTCATACTTTTCCTTGATTTTTTGCTTCATAGCCCAAAGTGCTTGCTTTGCAAACTTGTCAGGTATTGTTGACTTCTTTGTAGCAAGGATGGCAAGTTTGCTCTATAAATACACTGAGTCCTTTCCCAACATCTGTTGACTGATTCTGGTTTTTCTCCTCCACTTCTGCCACTCATATCTCCAACAACATCACAGCACACTCTTGGTTCTTGTCCTTGACTTCTGAAGTTGGTGTTGACTTTTGCAGAATTGACAAGTCTTCTCTTACCCTTCTTGAGACCAACCAGGTGTTGATTCTGATGAGGAATAGCTTTGCCACCATTATTGTTAGGGTCAGAGCCTTTTGATAAAGCAGATGCATGAGGGACCATTGTGTCCAAGGTGGCCACCACTGCTTGATACAAAAATGTAACCATCTATTTTTGGTGGTATCAAAGCTTTCTCCAGGCATGCTCATGTTTGAATAATGGACCATTTTTTTCACTAGTATACAAGCCCTTCACTTGAAAAGCCAGACAGTTGGACTTGTTCCAGCCCCTGCGTTTCAAGAAATTTTTCCATAACATCAAAATTGCTGAACAAATCTTGTTTCCTCAGCTGTGAAGGGCATGCAATAGATCAGAGATGGAAAATACAAGGAATCAAGCTTGAGAAAAGCAAGAGAAAAAGAAACTTACTAGCTTCTCAGCCACTCCCAATCACAATGCAAAAGTTTCAACCTTGCATTAAAATCTTCTGTGACAATTTTTTCCAGAATTCAGAAACACATCTGGTTGCTACTTTGGTTGCTCCTACAATGTGATCTTGGAAACTGTAATCTGTTCCTCCTTGATAGTATCCCAATTCAGACTTTGGGATTTCTTCTCACTGTCTTTGTTGACTTTCTTTTCTGGCATTCTTCAAATCCAGTGGTCAAAAAGAGTTGACCAATTGTTGAAAAAGAAGGATGAAGCAGGTCAGGAGTGTGTCCAAGTCCCATTCAAGGATGTATGGGCTGTGGTTTTAGTTTGGGGTTCAAGGGTAGTGTGCAGTGGATAAATCACCAGAGGCTCACTAGTTAGTGAATTTGATGAATCACTAGCTAGTAAAGCCCTAATTAGGCATGAGTGTGAAAACTTGGGTTCCATTACATCAAATCTGATGTAACTTCAGCCTAGTTATTAAAGCTGGTAAACTCTGTCAAGAGGCCACATGTACCTACCCTTGGTGACTTTTCCAAGTTTCTTTACTAAGTTGGGAGAAGAAGAATTAGAAAACAAGACAGTGGGAACTGAGCATGGAGTTTTACCCACAGTGGCATAACT